TCCTTCGGGCTCATTGTCAGCTCCCCCTTCCCCAAAAGGGAGGCCTGGAGATGGCCAGCTGTGTCAGTGTCTGGGTAAGTAAATTCATTTCAGGGTGGACGCCTGAGAGGTGCATCTGGCTGAGATTTAAACCACCTTCTCCTGCCCAGCTTTCCAGTAATGAAGCTGGTTTTGCTCTCCAGCTGGCTGGCTCCAGCTTTCCCATTAGTGACCCTTTCTCAAACCTGAACCTGCAGTTCTTTGCTCATAGAAAAAAAAATCGTTCTTCTCTCATGGAGTAATATTACCATTTTGTAGTCTTTTGTGATTTGTATAAGATCTCTCACATTCTTCATACTCAAAGCAGGCATCTTGTCCTACATATTTTCAAGATTTCATTTCATGCTTAGCTAAGCCACCTTACACCTCCAAAATTATAAAATTATTTTCATAGATGAGTCTACATAGATAGGGGATGTTGCTTAACAGATACATATGCTTATTAAGATTTTGACAGCCTGAATTATACATTAAAATCAGATAGGCCCCTGGTTTAGAGGATTTGAAATTATTGTACCTAGGAGAAAAAATTCTGTTCTACTCTCATGTCCTGGTCTTCCCCACATCTTGTAGGAGTCAAAGATAGCATCAGAAACTCCATGAGTTTCTTCAACTTCTCTAAGCTGTGCTTTGGGGCAAATACTTTAACATAAATGCTGAGGCAGGGTTTTCTGTACTATCCCGGACAGTGAGTATGGGACCTCATTCTAGGATCCAGAGTTAGATGCTGAAGTCCTATGAGATCAGAAATTCTTACTACTCTATCTGAATCACTTTATACCACTTTTTTTTTTTTGAGAGTAGATTTATTAAAACTGGGGACAATAAAACAAGAGAGGGTTTAGGATAGAAGAAGCAACAGAAGTGCTGAGGGGGGGCGGCTTTGGTTCACTGGAAAGTCAGAGAAAAGAAGGCCTTGGAGACAGGTGCACGGGTTTAGCTGCCGCTGCCCATCGGTTGCAAGTCGGGTGGGAACCTTTAGAGTTGAGGAGGGAAGAAAGGTGCGTGCATGCTCTTGAGAGGCAGAGCACTTTCAACTCTTGATGTCATCAGTGTCATTTTTTATGAAGAGATATATAGAACCTGGCTTTGTGTTAATCCTTCTTATTGTCACATATTTCACAGATCATGCATTTCATGGCATCAAACAATTTTTTTTTCTTTTTCTCTCTTTGGCATCAAACAATCTTAAACAAGTACTTTCTATATTAGAACTTTCTCCCCCCAGTGATTAGCTAATTAGCTGTTACTGTAATTGGGTAAACAGCTGTGTACTCTCTGTTCCTCTGCCATACTTCATAACTGTCAAAATACCATATTTCATAACTGTCATGATCTCTGTGCCCAAATCATATTTTGGCAAATGCACCAAGATATATTCAGTTGTGGGGTCAGCAGTGTGTGTTAAGTGACACATGTGTGAGAGTTCTCTCTCCTAGCTTCCTGACTTCTTTTTTTAATTAATTTTTATTGTTGAGATTATTACAGATGTCCCTCTTTTTTCCTCCTATAGCTCCCCTCCATCCAGTTTCCACCCCAGACCCTCGCCACCCTATTGTCTGTGTCCATAGGTAATGCATACATGCATATAAGATCTTTAATCTCTTCCCACACCCCCTTCCCTCTGAGAATCGTCAGTCTATTCCATTTCCCTGACTCCTTTTAAAATGAGGTTTTATTTATTTTCACAAATACAATATGATTTTTTTACCTAATGCTCTTATATCCTTGTAACTTTGCTGAACTTTAATTAGTAATAATAGTTTTTTGAGTGGATTCCGTAGGATGTTCTAAATAATTTTATTTTCCAATCTGGATGCCTTTTAGTTCTTTTTCTTGCCAAATGGATCCAGCTACACCCTTCAGTACAATATCTCTATGGCCTTTGGTTCCTTGTAGATCTCAGCTGTGTTCCAAATGGTCCATTTGCTGAATTAAGGACTTCTAGATAAGGTATTCATGAGGTGACTTTCCATAAAGCTTTTTTGAAGTACTGCCTTCCTTGAGAATCAAATTCTATCTTACATTATTTTTAATTCATTTTTGTAGCCGGAATTTCCTATTATTCTATATTTAAATTGCTCTGTCTTAATTCCCTCCACCTAGATTCCCTAGACTCAAAGTCAGAAGACCTGGTCTTCAGTCGTTAAGTCCTGCCATTTACTAGCTGTGTGATATTTGACTAGTCAGCTTCCCCTCTTGGCTCCTTTTCCTTTTCTGTAAAGTGAGAGCTGAAGTAGATGATATCTCAGCTAAAGTCCCTTCCCACTCTAACAATCTATCATTTAATATTCTAATAACTTAATGCCATAAATAAGAAGTTAGGATTCATATGGGATAAAGATCTAAACAACTTTTGTTAGTTAGTAACCTGTTAATAGTTTACATAGTAAAGGAAGTTTTAAGATAACTTGTTGGGATACAGATAAGAGAAGCCTGGATTGCAGACCTTTGTTATCAAAGACCCAGCTGGCATGGCCTGAAGGATCAAAGCAGAGAGGAATAGAAAGAGAACTTTCTTTGACCCGGGTGCAACTCAGAGCTCAGAGAAGCTGTCAGCAGGGGGAACATTATTGGTTTCAAAATATCATTCTGTATGTAGAGAGACAAAGGTCAGTAGCCTTACGGTTGACTGTGGACTTGGGAGTAGGTAGGTGGCAGGAGTAAGTACCTGTCTGAACCCCACCCTAGGCCTAAGACCTGATTCACCCCTTGGGTGCTTCCTGACAACCAGTGACACCTGGGCATAACTGAAGGACTCTGAACTTGGTCGGTATATGAGAAAGAAGTTGAAACTGTAAGATCTGATCTTTTTATTAAGGTTTTTCCCATTATAGAACACAAAATTGAAAAATACAGAAAAGTGGGAAAAGATATAAGTCCTACCATTTAGTTACAACCACTGTTAGTGTCTTGATGGGTTTCATCATTTAATACAAATATTACTTAAGGCCTCTTACCGCTACTTCCCCGAATGTTCTTTGTTCGGAAATTCCGTATTTATGTAACCTATCCCTTTGGAATGGAGAGAACTCATTTGCTGCCACAAACAACTCTGCATTGAACACCCTTATACACATTTTTGGGCTCATATGCAAGTACATTTTTGTCAACACAGTATAATCAATATCTTGTCTTTTGATAATCGGTAGCTAACAATATTTTCTTTTTTTTAAATATATTTAATTGAGTTTTTACAGAGAGGAAGGGAGAGGGACAGAGAGCCAGAAACATCAATGAGAGAGAAACATTGATCAGCTGCCTCCTGCATGCCCCCCGCTGGGGATGTGCCCGCAACCAAGGCACATGCCCTTGACCAGAATCAAACCCGGGACCCTTGAGTCTGCAGACTGACGCTCTATCTACTGAGCCAAACCGGTTCTGGCACAATATTTTCTTATTCTTTGCATTTTTATATCTTTTTTATAATATATTTTTATTGATTTCAGAGAGAAAGGGAAAGGGGGAAAGAGATAGAAACATCAATGATGATAGCGAATCATTGATTGGCTGCCTCCTACACGCTCCTACTGGGGATCGAGCCCGCAACCCAGGCATGTGCCCTTGACTGGAATCGAACCTGGGACCTTTCAGTCCACAGGCCGATGCTCTATCCATTGAGCCAAACCGGCTAGGGTTGCATTTTATATCTTAAGTTGGATGTTTTATATGTTTATCAAACTATTTATATTTCTTTTTCAGTAAACTGACTATTCCTATTTTTTACTTATTTTCTATCTTTCTGATGTGTAAAATAAAAATTACACACCAGGAAGACAGAAGATTAGCCCTTTCAAATGAAACAAGAGAAAAACAAATGAGACTACATCAAACTGAAGTTTTTGCACAGCAAAGGAACTCATGAACAAAACAAGAAGACAACCTACCAAATGGGAGAAGATATTCACCAGTGATATATCTGATAAGAGGTTAATATCTAAAATATATAAAGAACTTATACAACTTAACACCAAAACAAACAATCCAATTAAAAAGTGGGCAGATGAACTGAATAGACATCTCTGAAGAGGACATATAAATGGCCAACAGACATATGAAAACATTCTCAACATCACTAATCATCAGAGAACTATAAATTAAAACCACAATGAAATAGTGCCTCATACCTGTCAAAATGGCTGCCTTCAATAAATCAACAAGCAAGTGTTGGTGAGGATGTGGAGAAAAGGGAACCCTCATGCACTGTTGGTGGGATTACAAATTTGGTAGAGCTACTGAGGTAAATATTACAGAGGTTCCTCAAAAACTTAAAAAATAGAATTACCTTATGACCCAGCAATTTCACTTCTGGGTATTTATCAGAAGAATTCCAAAAACACTAATTCAAAAATATATATGCATCCCTTTGTTCATTGCAGCGTTATTTACAATAGCCAAGATATGGAAGCAATCTAAGTGTCCATCAGTGAACGATTGGATAAAGAAGTGGTACATATATACAAAGGAATATTATTCGGCTATGAAAAAGAATGAAATCTTACCATTGTAACAACATGGATGGACCTAGAGGATTAATATGGTAAGTAAAATAAGTCAGACAGAGAAATACAAATACAATATGATTTATATGTGGAATCTAAAAAACAAAGTAAACAAACAAAACAGACTCACAGGTTGCCAGGTGGGATGAGGGGTAGCGGGGCTGGGTAAAAAAGGTGAAGGGATTAAGAAGGGAGTTTCAGAACAACCCAGATCTCCTAGATCAGTGATGGCGAACCTATGACACGCGTGTCAGAGGTGACACGCGAACTCATTTTTTTGGTTGATTTTTCTTTGCTAAATGGCATTTAAATATATAAAATAAATATCAAAAATATAAGTGTTTTACTATGGTTGCAAATATCAAAAAACTTCTGTATGTGACACGGCACCAGAGTTAAGTTAGGGTTTTTCAAAATGCTGACACGCCGAGCTCAAAAGGTTCGCCATCACTGGCCTAGATCCTTGGAGACGTGACCGAACTTGACTTACCGACACATTGCTGGTTGTGATCTAGGACCCCTAAGTCCTCTCCCGCTCACAGAATCCTTAGCCCAGACCCCATGGGCAATCTGGACAGACTCCTCTCATGGGGGCACTGGGGCTCCAGGTGGCTCCACAGTGACCTGGACGCCCATTTGTCTCCATCACGGGCTGTAGCACTTCCTCTGCACAGTCAGCCCTGGATCCCCTCCACCCTTCCCTCCCTTCCCATCTGCGCACTGTCCGGCCAGCTCTTCTCGGAGGAAATTTGCATCATGCAGCAGAGGGAGGGCTCTTGAGGACTGCTTCACTGAGCCATGGTCTGTTCGGCGGCCTCCGTGCTACTCCTGGCCATGACTCTCCCCCTCGTGGGGCCACCAGTTGCCCGAGCATCCCAACCTGTGAGTAAGACTGGGGTAAGGACCCTGGGGAAGTCTGCAGAGGCAACACTGGGGACCCCTGGGTGTGAGAGGCAGTGAGGAGTGGGGTGAAATGGCAGGTGGAGGGGAAAGGGCTGGCGATCTGGTTGGTTATCGGGTCTCCGGGACCTCAGTCTTCCATTCCGGAGTGCGGGGATGGCTTTGTTTCTCTGTTTGAGTCCCTGTGAACTCCAGTGATGCCTGCCCACTTTGGATAAAGGCTGTTCCAGTCAAGCTTACAGTTTTGAAAATGAAAAGAAAAACTTTCCAGATTTGGGACCCACTGGCATAGAGGACAGCAGAGAACCTGGGAAAGATGGCCGAGTGTAGATTCATATTTTCTCATCTTTGTTTGCTCCCAGGAGGCTGTCTCTCTCTCTCTCTCTCTCTCTCTCTCTCTCTCTCTCTCTCTCTCTCTCTCTCTCTCTGTCTCCTTGTCTCTATCCATATCTGTTTTTAGGTAGATATCCACTTACATATAAAATTTTGAGCAAAGCAGGAGTTGGTGAGGAACCAGAGACTGAGGGAAGGTGCTGCCTCTGCCCACCCCAGTGGCAATTCCTATGGAGGGAATGGAAGCCCGAGCCTCTGGGCCCAGCCAGCTCTGCCCAGCCCACCCCCTGGAGCCCCAGGCCCAGCCATTTCAGTTAGCCCAGAGGCCCAGGGACAGGCAAACTCAGGAAAGAATTAAGCAAAGCATGTTGACTCTCTGGGGTGTGCCTGGTTCCTGGGTTCCGGCCCTGGCGGGTCCCTGAGGCTACATCCCTCCCACCCCCTGCCACAGCCTACTTTCTCCTCCCGATGTCCCGCTTAATTCCAGGAAAACGAAGAGGACCCCCAAAGGGACTGTGCCCTGCCAGCACAGCCAGGCGGCCCCTGAGCCACTTGGAGAAGAAAGTGTCCCTCAGAGAGGTGTCAGCCTCTCCTAGGAAGCCTCTCCTCTTTGCTCTGTCCTAGGGACCCAGTCAGGCGGGAGGGGGAACTGGGCAGCAGCTGGACCAAGAAAGCGGAGCAGGTGGTGAGTGGACGGAGGAGGAGGCGGCGAGGGAGCAGGAAATGAGGCGAGAGAGGCCTGGAAGAGGCCACGAGGGGTTGGCAAGTGGGGTAAAAGAGAGAGGGCTGGGTCTGAGCTGGTCGGGTAGGTACCTACGCTGCCTCTCTAGCTGTGCGGCCTGGAGAAAAGCATTCACCTTTAAATGGGGGTTGTTGGGAAGGTGACATCAAACATGTTTCATAGCTAAATGAGGCAGTCATATCCCCGAGTCCTGGCTGTGCCTCGACGGGCTGTGGGAGGTGTGATCTGCTGCAGGTCCTTGGCCGAGACCAGCTCAGTGCGGGGTGCAAAGGGGAGCTGGCCCCTGGCCTCGCTGCCCCTCCTCTCCAGCCGCCCCGCTTCTCCTGCAGAATCAGCCCTGCTCTCGGTCTATGTCCAGCTGGTCTTTTCGCATGGGGGCTGGCCAGCAGCACTCTCCAGGCCCCTGCCTCTGCCCCCGGCCTCTGCTTCCTCTTCCCTGGGAACTCTCGCCGGCCTCAGCCTCACGACAGGTAGGGGAAGTTCCACCGCCTCCTGCCTCTGCCGCCCTGCACCCCAGCACGGGCAGGGCTCAGAGTGAACGGAACGTGGGTGCCCACCCCGCCCGCAGCCCCTGGCCTGAGACAATCCCTGTTTCCTGGAGGGTCTGCATGGCCCAGCTCCCCCTCACCTCCCACCAGACAGACCCTGCGCCTCCTGCTCCATCTTCTAAATGGGGGGGAGGCAGTCCAAGGTGGGTGGGTGTGGCCGAGGAGCCTGTGACTTGGGGATTATTCCGGACACCCAGCCCCAGAGCCTCTCTGGCATCAGGCAGTTGTGGATCCTGCAGAGCTGGCTTCCCCAGACAGCCTGCCCCCTTCTCCTTCCCCTCCCCTCTGCTGCAGAGTGTAATGTCAAGCCGGATGGGCTTACCTATTGTGCCTGCCTGTCTGGATACCAGTGGAATGCCAGCATCTGCTCCCGTCACCAGCTCTGCCAGCCCCCCCACAACCACCGGCCCTGCGGCTGCCTGGTCCTGAGCCCTCCAGAAGCGGGGTACTGCCAGGTGCTGCCACCTGGTGAGGAGAGCTGAGAACTTGAAAGCAGTGGGCCCAAGTGAAAGGAACTGGCTCTGTGTGCTTTTCCTCTCTGACTCTGCATTTCTGCCAGCTGGCCAACCCCAGGGGCCCCTCCGGGTGGGAGAAGGCTCCAGCCATCACCGCAGATCAGGGGCCTGAGCTTGGGTCCTGAAGAGTGAGGCTCGTGAGCGGCAGGCAGGGCCCTGGAGACAAACCGACAAGGAGAGAAAGCTTCCTCCCTGTGGGAGGGGCAGTCATCGGCCAGCAAGGTTCCCTGTTTGGTTCCCAATGACAGATGGGGGTCTTCCAGGCGGCAGCCACACTCCTCCAGGGACAAAGCAAAATAAAAAATGCTAGGTGGGGAGGGAGGGAGGAGGGATGGGCTTCAGAAGCCGGAGAAGCCGGTAGGGGGACGGGACAGGGAGAGCTTAACCCAAGAACATATGTGTATATATGCGTCACGTATGGACATAGACAATAGTATGGGGAAGGCCTGGGTGAGGCGGGGGTTGGGTGGAGGTGGGCAAAAAGGGAGAAAATAGGATACATCTGTAATACTGTCAACACAATAAATATATAGAAGATAGATAGATAGATAGATAGATAGATAGATAGATAGATAGATAAATATTATGGAGAAGCGTTTCAGCGTCGCTGCACGTCAGCCCACAAGTTCCAAGTTCCTGCCGCATACCCCTGTCTCTTGCCTCCCTGCAGTCCCGGGCAACCTGAGCCTGAACTCCTGGCTGCAGGTGCCTGGCCACACACTGAACCTGACCCTCCACACAAGCCAGGAGACCACCAGCCTGAACTGGTTCCTGCGGCGGCACACGGGGAGCCCCGGGCCCATCCCTCTGCAGCCGGGGACACAGGTGTCCCTGACGTTGAGCCAGGGCCAGGCTGTCCTCAGCATCCGCAACGTCTCGCACGAGTGGGAAGGTAGCCAGCCTGTTCTTCCCTCCTCCTCTCTCCCCATTCACCTCCTCCTCCCTTCTCTTTTCTCCTCCTCTTCTCCCTTTCCGTTTATTCATTCTGGGACATAATGGGGAAGAGGCCCGTTGACATGGACATTTGTAAAGGAAGAATGCTGAAAATAGGGTCTCCGTTTTAACTGAGAACAGACGAGTGCTTTTCTTCCAGCTGGTGAAATGGCAGGGATGGTGCAGGAAGGGCATCTACTGGAGGGAAGGAGGGAGGTGCACTTTGGAATTCATGGCAATCGGCTCATCAGAAAGGGTCAGGGGCCTCCTCTCCAGACTTCTTCCCGCCTAGGAATCCCTTTGCGGGCAGCAGTCTTCCTTGCTGACGTTAGCAGAAGCTAGTCCAAGATGGCCACCCTAGGTTGTAGCTTGGGAACAGCAGAGCTTCTGTGGTGCAGGTGGGGGCCGGAGGAGCCCAGAGCCACGGCAGGCGTGTGTATGTCTGCAGGTGAGTACATGTGCTGCTTCGAGGCCCAGGGATTCCGGTGGGAGCTGTACCAGTTGGTGAGGGTGCCCCTGCGGGTGACAGACGTGGCTCGGCTTCCAGACCAGCTCTCCATCTCCTGTGCCACCTCCCTGGGCTTACAGCTGAGCTGCTGCATCCCCTACACACCTCTGGGCTACATGGCCTCCTGGAGCCCTGGAGAGGGCAGCGAAGGTACAAACGGGCCCGGCTGGCAGGGGCAGGGGAGGGGGGCAGCGCTCCGCCAGGCAGCCGGCTCTCCAACTCAGCACAAGCAGAGGCTGCAGTTCCACTGGGAGTTCTAGGTCCAAGTCCAACACTGTGTTTGCCCGATAGGGCAGTGATTTCCAACCTTTTCCATCCCATGGCACGTAGACTAGTCCCCAAAGTTCTGTGGCACACCCAAAAAATACAGGATATATTTAGCCGGTCTGATTTGAAAAAATAGGTATAATTTTTATTCATTCACACCCGGCGGCTATTGTGTTGGTGGTTGTCATTTTTTTTTATTTGACAATCTAAGAGAAAAGAGGTCAGTGCCCCTGATTAAATAGTCGGGTATTGCATGTTTTAAAATCCCTGCGGCACACCAGTTGAAAATATCGGCTACAGAGCAATGACAGTTCTATCAATACAACGGCAACCACCACTGCGAAATGCCCTTCTCCACGCAAGCTCCTTAAACGCTCGCAATGCACTCTGTGAGGTTCATCTGATGACAGTTCATTTGACAAACCAGGAAACTGCGGCTCCAAGTCCCCGGCGAGTTAGCGGTCCCCAGTGTCCTTCCCCAGAATCCGAGCTCTGCCTTGGGCAGTGGGTGCCCTCGTACCCCTCTGCTCTTCCCCGGCTGCATCGACGTCTGAAATCGCTAGAAAGGCTGACACGACAGATCTGGGCCTGCTGGGTGCTGGGCCTCTTCCTGGCCTGTGACTGCTCCCTTCTCTCATCTCACCCTCAGCCTCCGTATTGAACACACCAGGCGACCAGTGCCTTGTACTGGACACTCAGCACTGCCCTGCAGCTGACATCACATACACTTGTGACCTGCAGAGCCCAGGACTGACTCCTCTCAGGGTCCCCGTCTCTGTCACCATCATCCAGGGTACGTGGGGCTTACGGTCCAGCTGGCCGACCTCTCACCTGCTTGCCCTGGGAGCGCCCCCCACCCCCCCACCCCCGACACGGGGCTGCGTGGGTTTCTGCCCAAGGAAAGCCTGGGGAGAGACTGCGGTTGCTGAACTGTCCCTGACCTCATTCTTCAGATGGAGACACTACCTGCCCTGAGGACTCTGCAGTTGTTGCCTGGAATGTCACCAAGGCTGGCCACGTGGCACAGGCCCCCTGTCCCGTGAACAGGACGGGCGTGGTGAAGAGGACTTGTGGGCCTGACGGGGCCTGGGGGCCCATCCACAGCAGCTGCACAGACACCAGGCTGCTGGCCTTGCTTCGGGGAGCCCAGGTACAGCTCTCGCCCTGCTGCCCACATGCCACAGCCTCCACGAACCGCCCTTCCTCACGCGCAGGGCCAGCTCTAGAGTCCCTCCTCCTGAGGCCCAGCCCAGAGGTGGTTCAGCTTCTCTGAACGGGATCCCTAGCAGAGCCAGGAAGTAGGTGTGGGGGCTTAGAGTGGCCAGGACTCTCATGGCGGGAGTGTGCCATTCTCAAACCTGAATCTGTCAAGGGTCCATCCCCTAACATTGGTGTCAGCTCCTTCCACGCGGCTCACTCCGCTTTCTGCTTCCTGGTCCCCTGGGAAGGGATGTGGTACCTGGAGGAAGGACTGGATGGGGGTGGGGGAGGGCGGGGAAGTGGCCCCTATCTCCTGAGGACTGCCATTCTTCACCCCCACCCCACCCCACCCCACCCTGTCCTGTCTGGATCAGCTGCTGTGGGCCGGCCAGGGCTGCCCTGCTGAAGAGGTGCCACGGAGCCTGGCACAGCTGCTGGAGCAGACAGAGGTGGTGAGCTCACCCTCTGACTTATTGGCACTGCTGGGCACCATGACATTCCTGGCCAAGGTGGTGGCAGACACCGGAATACCACTTCGCCGCAGTGCCCTGGAGGTAAGCTCTCTGAGCCCCAGCCGAAGCCAGCAGGGTGGAGGAGGTAGCAGCTCTTCACCGGCAGCACTCTGTCCCTCCGTCACACGACAGACCTCTCTAGCGTGCAGGGTCTGCTCCTGGGGTCCGTCTCTCCTCTTTGGACACCAGTCTCTAAGGCCGTGGATTGTGGAGGTTTTTGTTTTTTGTTTTGTTTTGTTTTTTGTTTTAAATATATTTTATTGATTTTTTACAGAGAGGAAGGGAGAGGGATAGAGAGTTAGATACATCAATGAGAGAGAAACATCGATCAGCTGCCTCCCGCACGCCCCCCACTGGGGATGTGCCCGCAACCAAGGTACATGCCCTTGACCGGAATCGAACCCGGGACCCCTGAGTCCGCAGGCCGACGCTCTATCCACTGAGCCAAACCGGTTCTGGCGATTGTGGAGGTTTGATGCTGGTAGGAAGGGGTAGGTAGACATGAGTTCAGAGGCGTACATTGCATTCACATGCAGACATGTGGATGTGATGTGAATCCCCCGTGCACACATACGTGCACACATAATACCTACATGAAGAAACTCTAACACAGTTGGCTTTGCTGCACTCCCCCAAGCCAGCTCTCAATATAGGCATCAATTGGTGACCCGTGGGCCACAGACAAAAGAATAACTAGGAGTTATGACACTACACACTTCCATGTCTGGGAATATGTGTCACGTGTTGGTATACAGACATGCACATGGCTCTGATTTGAACATGGTGCCTCTGCCGCCATTCTCAGCTTGCAAACCGGTAGGGGTCAAGAAATTGAAGAGGGGCCCCCTTAGGGCCTTGGTGACCCCCAAGGGATGGAGGGGGAAGAAGGGTTGTCAGAGGGGTAGAATATGCTTCAGGAGACCACAATGTTGAAGATGCCCCAGTGGTTAGCTGACCAGCCCCCCATTCTTCCTGTACAGAAACTCTCCCTGCATAGTCCTGTCTTCTCCCCTTTCTCTCTCACCTTGAGTCTTGCAGTGAACGAGGAAAGGTAGGTTTGGGGACCTGTAGTTCCCGGTGCCCCAGCTCAGTGCTGTGGGTACTAGCAGTGAGGCCTCATCTCTCTGTTGGGTGCCACAGGCTCTCCTGAAAACCACGGACAAGGTCCTAGACATGGACACCAGTTCTCTGTGGACCCCGACCCAGGCCCAGAAGCCCTCGGCGGCCTCCGATCTCCTGCTGGCAGTGGAGACCCTGGCACACAGCCTGTGCCCACAGGATCACCCCTTCTCCTTCAGCCTGCCCAATGTGCAGCTGCAGACCCAGCTCCTCACACCCACAGTTCCTGCTGTCTACAGAGTCTCCTTCTCCACTCAGCCCCCACTCTGGGCACAGATTCCCAGACGCTCACTGGCCCCACTGGACACTAGCAATAGTAACGTCACGATTACTAGCCTGGTGCTGCGAAAACTGGACCACCTCCTACCCTCAAACTATGGACAGGAGCTGGGGGACTCCCTCTACGCCACTCCCGGTCTGGTCCTCTCCATCTCCATCATGGCAGGTGGCCAGGCCTTCAACCAGGGAGAAGTCACCATGGACTTTGGGGACAGAGATAACCCCTTTCGCTGTGTCTTCTGGGATCACCATCTTTTCCAGGGCAACGGGGGCTGGTCAGGTGAAGGGTGCCAAGTGCAGGCAGCCAATGCCAGCGCCACCACTCAGTGCATCTGTCGGCATCTCACTGCCTTCTCCATCCTCATGTCCCGACACACTGTTCCAAGTAACCCCACCCTGGAGCTGCTGAGTCAGGTGGGCTTGGGGGCCTCCATTCTGGCGCTGCTTGTGTGCCTGGGCGTGTACAGGCTGGTGTGGAGAGTCGTGGTTCGGAACAAAGTTGCCTACTTGCGCCACGCAGCCCTGCTCAACGTGGTGCTCTGCCTGCTGGCCGCGGACACCTGCTTCCTGGGAGCCCCCCTGCTACCTCCGGGGCCCCAAAGCCCACTCTGCCTGGCCGCCGCCTTCCTCTGTCATTTCCTCTACCTGGCCACCTTTTTCTGGATGCTGGCTCAGGCCCTGATGCTGGCCCACCAGTTGCTTTTTGTCTTCCATCAGCTGTCCAAGCGCCGAGTCCTCTCCCTGATGGTGGTCCTCGGCTACCTGTGCCCGATGGGGTTGGCAGGGGCCGCCCTGGGCCTCTACCTACCCCGAGGGCAATACCTCGGTGAGGGGGCGTGCTGGTTAGATGGGAAGGGAGGGGCGCGCTACACCTTCGTGGGGCCGGTGCTGGTCATCGTGGGCCTGAACGGGCTGGTACTAGCCATGGCCATGCTGAAGCTGTTGAGACCGTCGCTGTCAGAGGGACCCCAGGCGGAGAAGCGCCAAGCCCTTCTGGGGGTGATGAAAGCCCTGCTCGTTCTCACACCCATCTTCGGCCTCACCTGGGGGCTGGGCCTGGCCACTCTGCTCGAGGAAGTCTCCATGGTCCCTCACTACATCTTCACGATTCTCAACACCTGCCAGGTGGGTAGCTGTGCTCGCTGCCACTTTAGATGCTCTAAGTCACTGCCACTCCCTTCTCAGGGGTGCATCATGATGGGGCAGAAGAAACAGCTGGGGAGTTTCAGAAGGCGGAGGTTTGGATCCCACCTCCTCCTAGCTGGATAACTTGGGGCAAACCTCTCTGGTTTTCTTATTTGTAAAATGTTGTCTGGTTTTGCCAGAGAAGTCGGGGGATTGTCAGTACCCATCCCCTGCACTGTGCGCAGTAAGAAAAGCACTGAAAGGTCCTGACAGCAGTGGTGCTGAGGTACAAAACCCCAGGCGGGGCCTCAGCACCGAGTGGACAGGAGGGAGGGGCACGAAGAGGAGAGGAGCGAGTTGACTCCTTCCTCACTGACTCACTCACCCCATATCCCTCTTTTCAGGGTGTCTTCATTCTGCTGTTTGGTTGCCTGATGGACAAGAAAGTGAGTCTGCCCACCGAATCCCCGCCTGACTCATCCGAAGGCAGGGACTTTGGCTGCCATAACCAGGCATTTCTCTCTCCTGCAGGTACAAGAGGCTTTACTCAAACGCTTCGGCTGTGCCCAGCCCCCCAACTCCACCATCTCCCTGGTGAGTCAAATCCTTAGTTCTCCCCCACCACACACACACACACACATACACGCACACACACATGCACACATGCACCACCCCCCCACCCCCCCATCCCCGCACACCACCGCCCCGGAGAGCAGGTCAGAGCAGGAGGTCCGCGGCCTCCCTAGAGGACATGGGCACAACCAGGAGCTGAGAGAAGATGGGGTTGTTTTCTAGAGTGAGCGTGGTTCTGGGGTCAAGCTCTCCACAATGCAGACAGCAGTCCTGTCAGGAAAGTCAGGTTCTTGGGCCCCTGATTACAACCTGGACGCCTGGTGACTCTCTCGTCCCTGGTTTCTCCATCTGAAAATCTGCCTCCCGTCGCTATGTGAAGGGAAAAGCTAGGATCGGTGCGCATGGGCATCACTGTAGCTGCGAGCAAAGTTCCTAGGATTACTGTGGTCCCGGCAGGAGGGCAGGTGAGGGTGTGAAAACAGACACAACCTTGTCAAAGGAGAGTCAGCAATCATAATCATCGCCCTGCAATTGGGCCTTTTCGCCCCTTCCCAGGCCACAAATGAAAGCCACCTCCCGGAACCCAGCAGAGGGAGAAGTGACAATGCCAGGTGAGGATGAAGTGTCTTGGGAAGAGAGTGAGCGGCTTCCCGGCCAAGCTCTTGACAGAAAGCCCCCCACACCTGCTCCAGCCCAAAGGCTGGGGAACAGACTTTGCCAGGGTAGACGTTTCTAGACAAGCTAGGAAGGTGAAGGCCGTAGAGCAGAAATTGTGGCATCTACTATTGCTTTCCCAGAAAGCTGCCGGGAGTTTGACCACCACCAACCCCTGGCTCGGTTCACCCTGAAGATTCCCTCTCACACCATCAAATGTTTAATTATCCTGAAAAATCCTTGTTTTCAAGGAATTGCCATTGGTGAGCGTGGTGTCCAGAAGGGAGGGCAATCTGCAAAAGTGGGCAAGGTCTCCTCTTACCAGCCCCTGGCGACAGGGCACGCTCTGGTGGGGAAGGCAAGAGCTTTGAGAGACCACACACAGAACCCGTGTTCCTCCAGGGGAGCATAGGGTGTGTGCTTGAATCCACCAGGATGGGCCTTGGTCCAATGCCCTGCACCCTTCCTGGCTCCCAGAATTCAGCCCTCCCAAAAGACAGGCTGTGCTCCCATTAGTCACACTCATTTCTCTTGCACTCATCTGTCCCCACCCCTATACTACCCAAGCAAGAATAGCAGGAAAAACTAGTTGAAGCTATCAAATGAACAAAGCTGCCTTTGCTGTAAAAATAATGAAGATAACAAAGTTCAAAATAATTGCAAGTAAAACTGTCTCAACCAATTTTTAACTGGTCAACTGTTTATGTAACAGATATGGTTGATAAAAATGGTTTGAACTAGTCAGTGATTTCTGTTCATTTCTTCTCTACAGTTATGAAGAAAAGATGACTTAATTGACAGGAACTCTGATCTTCCTAACATTAGAGGTGAAGGGCAGAATTTGGTTTGCTTATTTTCAAAGTTTAGGAAAAGTGAAGTTAATGAGACTCCTTCTTTAACTTTAAAAATATTGATATAAAATTTTTGTAGACATACACATGTATACAAAAAGTCACTGATATAAGCATATTTGTAAGAAAGCACCAGAAATTTTAAGGTAGAGAGAAAGGTATCACAGACTGCCACAAATTACGAAGACAAGATGAAACACATTTAAAAGTGGCAGGATCAAGCTAAGACTAGACATAGAGAAGAAAGATTTCAGAAAAGCCTCTAGGAGACAGACACCAAGACATCAAGCGGAATTAATGTATGGAATTCACAAGCGGTAATGACAGGATTCAGAAAAAATGTTCAACTAGGTAAATGAAAAAAAATGTTGATAAATGAATGTGTAAATTACAAATTTCATGAATATTTTTATAAAATGGAATAGGGACATTTTCTGCTGAAAAAAAAAATGAGTACCACATTCTGTTGAACACATTTTTAAATAAACATTATTTGTGTGCATGTTTTTTGTGTGCATGAATGTTTTAACTGTGTATAATCTGGCCAAAGTGGATTTGATTATTCTTCCAATAGAAGATACCAACTCACCAGGACAGCTGCGGTGTTTCTGTGCCTCAGTTCTGTTCCAGTCCCCAGGGAGGCAGGCAGCCACTGAAACAATGAAGACTTTGCCTTGCTAGTTTCCCGGGTAACATGTCTCAATGTCACTATCACTTCATTAGTATTTACAATCTTGATTGAATTATAAATTTTTAAAATAATTCAAATATTACACTTTAAAAGCAGCAGAGACTCCTTTTCTGAGTATGCTTTGTAGAAATATGTTTTCATTTTCCTTCTCAAGCAATTGCACATATTCAATCTATGCTTTGCTGTAAAGTGTAAAAACACTATAGAATCCATAAATGAAATGACATGAAGCCTTTGTTCACTTGGCTCTCTCATAAAAAAACAAAAAAAAAACCCCACAACTGACTAAAAAAGAAGGCTCTGGAAGTAACTCTAAGTGAGATTTAGAGGCAACTCCATTACTAGAAAGTTATCTTCTTAGAAGAAATAAATGTCTATTCAAATTCCTTGCCCATTTGAAAATTGAGTTGTTTTTCAGGTTGTTAAATTGTAGGTTTTCTTTATATATTCTGGATATTAACCCCTTATTGAATATATGATTTGCAAATATTTTCTATTCCAAAGGTTGCCTTTTCACTCCATCCTTTGATGCAATTTTTAATTTTTAACTTATTTTCTTCCTTTCTTTCCTGTGTTTTTGGTGTCATGTCCAACAATTCTGATGTCATGTAGCTTTTCCCATTTTCTTTTAAGAGTTATATAAGTTTAACTCTTACATTTAGGTCTTTGGTCCATTTTGAGCTAATTTTTGGATATGGTGAAAGGTGGGAGTCCAACTTCATTCTTTTGCAGGTGGATATACAACTTTCCCAACATGACTTGTTGACAACTGTTCTTACCTCGTTAGTTTTGACAGTCTTGTCAAGAAATAATTTGATCATACATATGAGGCTTTAAAAAACCACAAAAACCTATTAACTCCAGATTTATTCAGATTTCATCAGCTTTTTCCATTAATGTCCTTTTTCTAGTTCAGAATACAGCCCAAGAATCTTCACATTTAGTTGTCATGTCTCCTTAGCCCCCTCTTGTGTGTGATTGGTTCCCAGCATTCTTACTTTTCATGACCTTGGGTCGTTCTGAGTAAGGTCAAGATGTTTCCTCATGATTCAACTGGGTTAGAGGTATTTGGAGAGAATACCACTGAGATGAGGCAGCCCCTTGATTGCATCATACCAGGAGGTATGTGATAGCCACATGACGGCGCTGATAATGTTGACCTAGGCACTCAGTTAAGCTGGTGCTTGCCATGTTTCCCCACTATGGGGGCGGGGGGGGCGGTAACTTGTTTTCCTTTTCACACTCTAGTCACTGGAATTGAGTGACTGAGTCCAGCCCACATTCAAGTAGGGAGAAACATGCTCCCTACTTGAGCATGGTGTCTACATATATTATTTGGAATTCTTTATGAATTAATCCCAGGAAGGTACTTAGTTTTGCTTATTTTTGAAACTTTCCTGTCCATGAACATTATTTACAATATTTTGCTATTAAAGAGCAATGCTGCTATCTCCTGCTACTAGTCATGTGCGAAGTTCTGTAGGAAAGATACCTAAGAGTAGAAATGCTGGGTTATAGACCGTGTGTTATAGTCAAATGTACAAGCCAGTGCCAGACTGTTTTCCCAAATGTTGTATCGATTTGCATTCTCACCGACAGTGTATAAAAGTTCCCATTGTTCCACATGCTCACCAACACTTGGTAGTCTTGGTCTTATTCATTTTTGCTGGTCTGGTAGGCATAAAATGATACCTTATTATGACCTTAATATGGTTTTTTCTAAATTACCAATGAGCAACTTTTCATGTGTATTCTCCATTTGTACATTTTCTTTTTTTTTTCATTTATACATTTTCTAAAAAATACCTGTTAATATCTTTTGTCATTTTTTACTGTGTTATCTTTCTTATTGATTATAAGAATTCTTTCTAGTGCTTGCTTCAGCAGCACATATACTAAAATTGGAACAATAGAGATTAACACGGCCCCTGAGCAAGGATGACACACACATTCATGAAGTGTTCCATAAAATAATTCTCTATATATCCTGTATCCTTTGTAAGCTACATCTGTATCTTTCATAAGATACATCTTTCATAAGGTACATCATTATCTTTGCCCCACTTCTGGCTTGTCTTTCCACTCCATCTTATACAATACGAAAGTTTTGATTTGACATTTATAGCTCTTTTATGATAGCACTTGAATGTCTTAAGAAATCCTCCAGGGGTGGGAGGGCCGAGGGGGTCAATGAGGAAAATATCACTAATACTTTCAACAATAAAGATAAATTTAAAAAATAAAAGAGGTCCAATTGTTTTAAACAGGAAAAAAAAATCCCTATCTAAGGTCATAATGGTATATTTTTTCTAAATTTTAATAAGTTTTTTATATTTAACTTATTTATAGCTGATTTTTGCAATATGTATGTAAATATAAAGGTTTTCAGTAACAAAATTTCACATTATGTTGGAATTACCAATGAAATCACGGGGGGAATGATGCTGGAACTCTTAAATGCTCTTTTAAGAGGTCAGCACTTACTCCCTTGCCCAATCTGTCCCTGCACTAGAGGATGATTCTGATTGCCAGTGAGTTTCATAGACCTAAGCAACATTCACATAAAGGTTGCAATTTAGACTTTTGCTCCTTTAAAGCACTAGTATACATGTTATTTAGTGTAGTTTGGTTGTCAAAAAACAAAGGATTTTTAGGATGTTGATCGAAAATTTAAAATTTCTTTTCACTTTACTTAAATCCTGGAAAACAAAAGTATCTCCCAATAGTGAAATAAATTTACTTCCAGTCAGCAATGGGGTGGGGGTGAGGGTATTATTCTAAAGTAGAATCCTTTTTATGTTCCTAACAGCCTCATGGTTGACTAAAATAGTTAGAAGTTACAAATGAGGAATCAAAGGCAAAAATCTGCCCCTAAGCCAAGAAAAACAACTTTTTTCTCAATAAAAAATAAGGCAAACAGTTCTCCAATACCTCTCCACTTTATTAAGGTTAACCAACATAGTAATTAAAGTACCTGAACATTTACTGTAAGTTTTCAGTCATGTTTATATTCTGAATTATCTTTCCATAATTAAGTCAATATAGGCACATTGGTATTTTATAGAAAACACTTAGCTTTAGGAATAGGAATGAGTATAATTTGCAAATGTTACAAAAATGATTCCAAATCTCAACTAACCTCTTTTCCAAATTACCACTTGTTTAGTCTTTAATGAAAACACGGCCCAAAAACAAATGCTTAAACATATCCCGTGTGAGAGTCTGGTGATTAAGAAATCCCTGAAGGAGTATAAGCCATATTACTGGAAAGCTCAGAGCACTGGCAAGGCTTAATTGCAAAGCACTTAACAGAAGGCCACAAATTTTGTTTTCTTACGAGGAGCTAGGAACTCTAGGTGTCATTCAGTAATGCATTGAAATGGCATTGCCTCATGTTGAGTGTCGCACAAAAACTCCAGGTCGCTGCTTCTTGATCTATTATTTTGGATAAGCTTCCACTATCATAGCATGGCCCTGTGAAGGAAGAATAAGTTCAGTTAGAGAAATGAACAATAAATCCAGCCGTACAGAGGCAGCAGAGAACGATGGGAAAAGTACAGGCTTTGGAGTTAGAGGTTGGCTCTTCCATTTAAATGCCGGGCGATCTAGGGATAGCCATTCTGAACCTCAAGTTCATCTATAGAATGGATTATGCTGCCTACTTCCTAGTGTTTTTGTGAGCATTAAATTAGATAGCATATAATACACACACACACACACACAATTCTATACATACATACATATATACATGTACACATACACACATCAGAGTCTGTCTAGTAGAGTGTGATTCCTAATAGATGCTCCATAAGTGACTGCTATTAAAATGAGAAGCCACAGGGGTTTTTAGCTATATAAAAATAAACATAATACAATGAATGCCAACAACAGTAAATTTCTAGATTAGAAAACTGAGGCTTTGAAAGGTTAAGTTGCTCATCTAAATCTACAACACTGTCCGGCTGGCATGGCTCAGCGGTTGAGGGTCAGCCTATGAACCAGGGGGTCAGGATTTGATTCCCGGTCAGGGCATATGCCCAGGTTGCGGGCTCAATCCCCAGTGGATCATTGATGTTTCTCTCTCACCCTCTCCCTTCCTCTCTGAAATCAATACAAATATATATTTTTAAAAATAAATAAACCTACAACACTATAAAATAATAGGGCCAGGATTTGAAACCAGTTCTAGATGGATCCAAAGCCAAAGACTCTTCGTCCCCATCCTACTCAGGTGAAGGGCCCACAAGGTAAGAAGGTAGAAAACCCCTTCTCCAGCACTATGCATGGTGCTGTGCACTAGTTACCTCCCTAGTTGAAACCATGCATAGAAACTTATAATTTCATGAGTCTAAATCCTATCTGATAATCACAGCCAGTCTATTTTTGGACTGGGATCAAACCACTTAATAGCCTAACTACTGCTGGGCTACTTGGTTCAATCCCCATCAATATTTATTAAGAAACTATTGTTTCTAAGCTGCACACGGTGTGTACAAGGTTTTGCTACACGGTGCCTGTCCTCAAT